GAGAGAGATGAAAGAGAGGGAGAGAGAGATGAAAGAGAGGGAGAGAGAGATGAAAGAGAGAGAGAGAGATGAAAGAGAGAGAGAGAGATGAAAGAGAGAGATGAAAGAGAGAGAGAGAGATGAGAGAGAGAGGAAAGAGAGAGAGAGAGATGAAAGAGAGAGAGAGATGAGAGAGAGAGAGAAAGAGAGAGGGGGAGAAGGAGAGAGGGAGAGGGGAGAGAGGGGGGAGGGAGAGAGATAAAGAGAGAAAGATAGGGAAAGGGAAAGAGAGAGATATCAAATAATCAGAAAATCAATTAATAATAATTTTGAATAGAAAATCTATGGAATTACTGATAAATTTGTGCAACATAAACTTTGCATAAAATTCTCTTCCTGTAAATATATTTTCAATGTTGCTAGTCATATTGTTCAAACGGGATGTTATAATGAACATTTCTTGTAATACTCAAAGTCTTAAATTTTTGCACACTTCTATAATAATACTTCCAAAATATTGAGAGTTCTTGTAAGAAATGTTTTGTAAAATTGAGGTTAATTATATTTCATAAATTAGGAACAAACTCTAAAACAATGAAATACCACAGCAACAATTCACTGAAATTGATTTTCTGGAATTGTGGCAAATTAACGAAGATGATGAAAACAACTCACTATGTTGTAGAGTTAATGTTGCAAATTGATGATCTGTGCAGTTGTAACTCAGTAATTGTTACACAGACGATATGCGTGCATCATTGTGTCATCCAGGTCATCATTTAATATTTCATAATTATTTAGGAAGTAAGTACGAAAGCCTCTAGCACTTCAAAACAACATTACATTTAAAAATAAAAATAATGAAACTTTGTTTATTCTGCACTGTCATTTTTCTCAAGGAAAACCTGGGTCAAAAATGTTGATATTTACAGGGATTAATTGAACAATATGTTAAAACAAATACAATGAAGATAAATTACGTTTACGCCAGTGATTTATAAATTGCATACACTGGTAGGTTTACATCACCAATAATAACAGAGAGAGAAATATACTTTAAAGCTTGTAAGATATTAGAGATTTTGTAAAATGAGTCAGTCATTGGAATTCTATGCAAAACAAATAAACAAAATATTAAAGGCTGAAGAATCCTCTTATTTATTAAAGTCAGCTTAAGATACAAGAACCTATAATTCAATAATGAATTAGACAAAAATCTAAATAGAACACAGTATTCTTAAATCTCTGATAAGTTTCTAACTGGAACTAGAATGGTACTTTATTAACTATTATTTAAACTTCTTTCTTTAATAATTATTCAATTTATTAATTAAGAAAGAGGAGGTTAACTAACAAATAACCCCCCCCCCCTGTTTTTGTTGTCTAAAGAATAGTGATTCCTCCCCCAATTCCTTCACTTTACGCATCTTTCGGGCATTGAATTAGGTATTACCTTGAGATCTCAGAAAAATAAAAAATTCAAATTCTGAATCATTTTATCACAAATACGGTATATTTGCAGGTTTGCAACTGAAGCTTTGTAGACTGGGATATCCTCAAGTTCTGACAGTTGAAGATATTCGTCCTCGGATATGCAAGAAGAGTTGAGGCATGCTACTACCAGCATGTAAATTCTAGAGACAGCTGATATGATTGGTCATTTCTGTGGTTTCCTCTGATCAGTTTCAGATGGATGCAGCATTGCAGTATTGTAAAAACAATGGGACATGGCATGCACAATCCTTTCTTCCCTCACCTGTTCCCACTATGAACCCCAAAGGGTCAATGTTGGGCTGATCTTTTGTTTCCGTATGTTCAATCCTCCCCTGATCTCGAAAGACTCAGATCTCAAAAACCATCACAAAGAAGGTTAAGTTGGTATGATTAATGTGTCTACAACTACAATCAATTTCCTCACCCAAACTCTCAATTACTATCAGCAATGCTCTCACCTGTGAAGGCGGTTGTCGCTCCCTACTGGTCGGCCAATCCACAGTGGGAGTAGTAGGAAGTCCACACCGGGGTGGACACTGAGGACAACTGCTGGGAGACGAAAATTCGCCTGTTCCCTAAAAACAACAAAAACTTTAAACTCAGTTGTAACATTGAGCGTTTAGTATGTACATTTAGCTGCAAAAGAAAAAAAACTTGTTTTTTGAACTATTACTTGAATTTACATTTGTAATTCAGACCACATATAAGTTATGACCATACAAGAACAAAACTGAATTTATTTATTAAAAAAAAAAAAAAAAAAAAAAAAAAAAAAAAAAAAAAAAAAAAAAAAAAAGCAAGTCCACAGAAAAAATAAAAATCCTATGTAAATTTCTAAATCAGTTAATTAAAAATATGAACTTTAATCACATACCACAGAAGTTAGGAATGATCAAAATTCTGATTATCACAAAGACAACAGCAATACACTATGCACCACTCAATCGATAGTGATGAAAACAATCTACTGCATATTAATACAGGCAGGTAGAAATAGCAATACAGAATTAATTCCATGAGAATTAATTTTAAGTCTTATGATATGAACATTTGTTAAATTGTTAATTAACCAAACGCTAGAAAAAGTACTCACAATAAATGAAAAATATTCATTACTCTCATTCAAAATAACCTCTAATAATTTAATTGTTCTAACATTCATTGCATACTATAATGAAATTTTGCAGCAATACTCCATGATACAAATATATGAAACTCAAAGAACTTTATGCTTACACTAAATTTTTTTAACTTTAATCTTAACTGCAGGTCCAAGTGACTTCACAGAAAATATAATGCTTCCCTCTATATCCAGAGAACAAAAGGGTTGCAGAACATATCTTGTCAAAGACTTGGGTATTTTCACATTGCAAATGTGATATAGAAGGCAATTAAGAACAGATTCCATCAGAAGATTTATTTCATCATTAGACGTAAATCCATTGCAATCATCTCTCTTATTAGTTTATTAGATGCTAAAATACTGATAGGTAAAATGAACTGAACATTAATTTAGAAGGTTTTTCCATTTAAATTTCTTCAAAGAACGAGGTAGTCCCTTGCTTTCCTTCTCTCTGGTAAATATCACATACAGTTATTACTAGTTTTTGGCATAAATTCATTCAATTATGCCTTCGTGTCAATTTTCCATCCAGAAGTACACAATATCAGATATATAATCATTGGAATGAATGCTGCATATAACAAGCAAATAATATTTATAATAATGGTAATGTAAAATATGAAAGGTGTTCTTGAAATAATACTTCATAAAAAGAGACAAGAATAACCCTCAAAATGTAATGTTTACTGCAACTAAATGTTACAACTGCCATATGACAGTTATAGAAATGGAAACATTAAATTAAACAAATTGTAAGTAATAGAGGTCTGGGACATAGAGATTTGTTATTGAGAATTTCATAAAACATGAAGCAATTGCTGCTGTAGAAATGCACACATCTTTCTTGCATGAAAAAAATCATTGAACCTTCATACAAACAACAAATTAGTACGATAATCTCGATTTTCCTTGATTTAGTTGTTTTCACTTAATAAAAGACAAGGACAAAACTAAAAAAATAAGAATAAAAAATTGAAAAAGTAAAAAATATCACTTCTTTTAGATCAGGCACATTGAGAAAATCCAAGCAGAAATTTTGTGATCCTCACTCTTCACAAATTAACTCTACTAATAGTGCTTCAATGACTTACGTACAGTTTGCTAGGCCTAACCTCGGCTTCTTCTCTCTCCCCCATCCCACCCAAACCTGCCAGTATCAGTTCAGTTGTGGAGATAGTATTTTTTGGACGACAGTATCCACAAAATGAAATCTCTTTTTACATAATATCGCGAAATTATGAATAAAAATACTTAAGTCAGTGTGTCATTGATACAGCCCAAAGGTATCGAAATTCGTTTCTTGCAAGCGAAGCGTTACACACAAGCTTAAAACATTCAAGAATATTTTTTGTGTTATTCGTAAATTTAAAATGTTCCACAAACAAAAACTGCAAAAGGTCTCAAAATAGAAGATTACGATTAGAAGTTAGCAAATTAACATAGTTTGCAGTAACTTGATGCAGTTTCATGGAACATTCCCCAATTTTACCCCGCGAAAAATGTATCTCATATGTAGTTTATAAATAACATTTTACTGTTAACGCAGAATTGACTGAAACAAACTTTGGAGTGGGGCCATTGGTCATTTTGCGGGAGAGGGCAGAGAGGGAGTCGACAGTTCTCTCACGACAAGGTCCCTAGATGTCACTTCCTTGAATTTGCTACATTTTGGCTGTAAGATCCAAAATAAGGTAACATACGTGTATGGATTCTTGAGCCCAAAAAAAGCTTCCTCTCCTTTACTAACATTGGTTGAATTAAGAATTATGTTAATGGTGAATGTGTGTGTGTGTGTGTGTTTTTGTTGTTGCTTGTTTGTTTGTTTGTTGGCTTGTTTTTTTGTTTTTGGCAACAAATCTCTGTAGGCAGAGGAATTACTACTCTAAAGTATGACAAAGACAGCAGAAAATCAAACGACGCATTTTTATTATTGATCTAATTGATATTATATTTCCTTTTTTACACTTCCACTGTTGAAGAGATATCGCCCCCCTTTAAAACATTGTTCCTCCAACATGATGAAAAATCATAAATTCTTAGGCCCGTACAAAATCCAAAATTCAACCACATTTCGGGATATTTTCTCGTAAGTTGCGCCTTGCCCGTCCTGTTACGTAATCAGTATAATAAGAAGTGTATTAGTTATTGGACTGTGAAGATAGAGAGGGACAAGATATCCTCAATTTTCAGGAAAATCCAGTAAACTTACAGTCTCGCAATTTTCATTATGTTAAGACCGATCAATTCAGAATTAACTGTATTTCCGTACAGTAACATCTCAGTGGCAACGGCTGGCAACATTATACAAAACGAAGGTGATCACTTATTTCAATTTCCATTAGCATTACGTAAATCAAGAATAATTCCATGGTCAAATGCTACTAATCGAATTTGAGGTAAGGTTTCAAAATATTTGTTCGACAAGATCAAATGGTACGGTCTTTAAGGTATGTATGACTGAATGTATGTGTATACACATTTTGTGTATGTATGAGAGAGAGAGAGGGGGGGGAGGGGGGCAGGTTTCTATCATCGTCCTTTAAATTACACCGTTAGACGCTGGGAAGTCCGATCTGAATTCACTTTCTATACAAATTTTGAGAAACTATCTCTCGCTAAAGACTTCGTTTCCTCGATACTGCAAATCACACAAGCGTTGATGAAATGGTCATAACTGTTCAAAATATGCAATGATTATAATACAAACATAGTAAGGGCATTGATACACCACGGTTGTGCTATCGGTGTCATTTGTCCGTAGATGTCCACAGATTAGAGAGATGAGTGACCAACATTCTACCTATCTTTACGGCAATTTTATTACCATTCTACCATTTGATCTAAACAAAGATATTCCAACTATAGAACTATTAATATTACAAATTATTACTTCCAATAGTACTATTCCTTCGCTATTAGCACGTAACTCAGTGTGGTAAAATACGGCACATACTCTACTGATCATTGCATACCTTCTTCCATTTGCAACCCAAACGGAAATATGTACAGTGAATATGCATCTTGCACAGCATATGCAGATAAATATATGGAAGGGAACTTGAAATTTAACCCCTCGATATTGTCACATGTATCAAAATTGGAAATATTCGCGAAGCAATTTCATAAAATTGTAGTCGAATGTTCTCAAAATAATCGAATATGAAAACAGATCCACTTCTGTAAACTGTTCTTGCGTGAGACTGTTTCAAAAACTGAAATCAACATTCACATTAAATACGAATTTTTGTTAAACGAATCAACGTACATAAAAATACATCACTAATAGGCACGGTAAGCACATCGTGAATACGACCGCACAATACGAGTCAACACACTATGAGGAAATAAGTAAAAAGGATTGTTAGAGTACCATGTAGAGAAGAATCGATGTATTAATATCGATTTTTAAAACTTCTTTGTTTTCAGTTTTCTCACGATATAAATAAAATTTACAATACTTTTTTTTTTATTATTATTGCTCAAGACCAACATACACTGCTGCCAATGTCAGTCCTCCAAAAAGCACGAAATCGTTTAATTCTATACTTCAATTTAAACATCGGGTCTGTAGACGTAAATCAGCTGTTCAGTGTCGTCCAATCGGGAGCTTGGATGACACTACAGTAGTGACGTTTAAGCTCCCGATAGGACGACACCGTAACAGTTGATCGAACGTCAACAGACTGTAAATAAATTTAAGTATACTATTCGCAAGCTGCCTCTAGTGTTGCCAGGTTAGGGGATTTACTTACGATGTTACTAGCGTAAATACTGTTACTCTCATAACAATGTTCCAAGTCTTTAATTGGCATTTAACACGGAATAATTCTCCTTGAACGTAGCGAATGGTCATTAAACATTGAATAATTCTCCTTGAATGTTGTCATTTTATCACATTGTCACTGCATTTTATCTCTATTGGTCTCGGGCTCCACGTCGTTATTGGGAGCCTCGGTGTCTCGAGCTGCTGAACCTCTGTGACTTCATGGAACGTGGTTAAGCAGTTCAGCTACCAGCGTTGTTGGAAGGTTTTATTCCCCTTTAGAGGTAAAATGAGGAGGGGGATTTCATTACGGCTATTTTTGGGTTTGTTCTGTAAGTTAGACTTTATTATACTTTTGAAAGAAAAAAAAATAGTATGTGTCATATCAACAATAAACTTACGACGAAACTGAATAAACGGTTTAATTCATGTATGAATGAAAGTGAATACATGGAAAAATTGCAGAACAATGACTTGGCGTTTTTTTAAATATTGCAACTTTTATTTCAATTACACCATCATCGTGTTACTTTTCGTTAAAAATCGTTAAGTTATGCCACTTTCAAAATGTTTCTCAACACTTTTTTCTCTCCATGCAACATGGCGAACTGCGACAGATCTTTGTTTTTCAAACGAAGTGCCCGTGTTGTGGTCACGTGGTTCGTAACGCAAACTGGTGCTGCGCAGAA